CTGAACCGAAAGAGAGTTGTTTATGCTCTCTAAGGCTAGCAGACTATTGCTGGCCCCTGTCAATAACTTGCCCCAAAAGCTCAAAACCCCTCAAAAGGTAGTTTTAGCAGTGTAGTGGCCAGTAAACACACTCAAATGTTTTATTTTACAATCCCACCCCTGAACAGTTCTTGAATGTTTAAGAGGTCTCTCCTGGCCCCTTCCACACTGTCTCAGCTGCTGAGCATAGTTCAACTCATCGCTTGAGGCAGGTGGGAAAGACAGAGTAGCAGAATACCTACAATCAGCTTACCCCTCTAGAGAAGAAAGAAAAGGTTAAAAAAAAAGACCCCACAAATCCGTATGTCCAGGAGACGAGTGCCATATGATCCCATGCACTCAAACCCACCCCATTACAAAACCAAATGAAAACAGAATCTGTGTCACCCCGAGTTTCTTCCATGCCCAACCAGAGTGCAGTGGAGTTTACCCAGCTGTGGAACTACTAGGGTGGACACCCATTGCCCACTCTTGGGCTTGAAAAGATGTATTGCTGTGGATCTCTTCTATTTAAAGTAGGGCTTCTTCCATCCACCCTGAGTTTACCCATCTTTTGACTTACTGATCACACCTTCTCTGGAAAAGGCCCTGCTTGGAGCATGTGTGTGCTGAGGCTTGTAGGGTTTGCTCATCAGTGAGTTTTCCTTTTCCTACATCTTCATTTACCACAACATCCTCACTCACGCTCGGTTAGACATGTGGCATCTCTTGTCCCCCCGAACCCCCTTCCACACCGCAGCTTGTGCTGCCTCCTCACCCAGAAGCTGCTGGCTCCCCTCGCACTGACAGCCCCTCTGCACAGCATTGCTAGATCGGCAGCCCACCACAACGTCGGCTGAAGCATGTCAGGGTAAACCCAGCTGTCCCCATATCCTCTGTGACACTTTGACAAATGTGGCGCTACACGTGTGTTGCCTGCTGCCAAGCAGCGTGTGTCACAGCTGAGCCCTGCCTGTCTCTTCCCACAGCAGGAACACTAATTTTGGGTGCCACTCTCTGGTATCCAGCTGCCAGTATTCATGAAACTTGTCAGAACGCAATTATCTCTGAGGCGTTTGTCAAATGTGGTTGAGCTTGGCTAATGGATTTAAGAAAATACTGTGGGGAAGGGGACTGACACACATGTGGACAGAGAGGCAAGCAAAATGATTACATAAGCCTTGCTTCCTAAGGAAACGAGACCAAACCCAGAATCCTGATTTGTACAGTGTGTATCCCTCAGACACAGGGTTAGTGAAATGGGGGAGCTGCAAGGCTGCTCTGGCATCAGACACAGCGGTGTGTTGCTCCTGGCCCTGGTGGTGCGGCTCAGAGACTGTGCAGCCTACCATTTGGATGAGGGCTGCATCCGCCCCTGAAGCTGCTGGATAGTGAGAAAGCCGAAACACAAGCCAACGTAGACAAAGAATCGACCCTATTGTTCACTTGCTTTGCTTGCATGGGATGTCTGCCTGTAATTAAGAGTACTTCGAGGGCCATGTGGCACACACAATGGAAGATGGGATTTACTATGAGATTCCATGTGAGTCTGCAATGAGACATTAGTCATTTGTGTTGAGTCACTGAGAACCAAACTGCTACTTCTTTAAAGCTAGAAGTTCTTTATCTTACATAGTGCAAAACAAGGGCACTCCAACAGAGCATTAACTTTACTTCCTTCAGAGGGACAGACCTTTTTCTGGTCATGGGCACTGTGCAGCATGCACTATAATAGGCACTATGAACGCTATCGGCTATCAGCCATTTATGCTGCTACTGGAATTCATTTTGACTATAAAAAGTTTTGAAATACATATTTTTATTCCAGAGTTAAGACACTCAAAGTTTGGAGCTGCTGTCACTCTGATTCCATGACTACCAAGTATGTTCATGGATGTTAAGCCCAAAGACGGTGCTTTTAGAAGGAAATATTGGCAGTTTATCAGGAAAGAGAGAGAGAGAACTGCCTTGTTCAGGGAAGCAGGAGGTATCTGCTGATATGAGGGTGTATAAGGTCCTTCCTGCCAAGGCCTAACAGAAAGGAAGAATTGTTTGAGGGAAGAGAAATGCTGTCTTTGCTGTGTGGATCCCTTTGCCTGGAAAACTAGTTGCCTCTGCAATGGAAAAAGTCGGGGGGGGGAAGAGCAGTTGCTCTTCTAGCCTCAGTATAATTTTCAATACTTCTAAAATTTCACTTCTTTTACAGTCTTGCTTCATTCTTTTCAGCAGCAAGCTATACTATTCTAAGTACCTGAAATCACACAGAAGCGTTTGGAGCTGTTATGAATGACTACTACTGCAAGTGCAACCCACTTCAGGACTGTGCACCTTGGGCCTCTTCACACATTGACCACTTCAGCTTGTAAATATATGTCATCAATCAATATTTGAAATGCCTTGGCCTTTAACCTTAACATCTGTTGCCAAAACAGTACTTGGAGCATCCGTGACTTGCAGCTATTTTTCCCCCTCGCTTTATGCTAACAGAGACCAGAAAAGCAATAATAAAACATGACCAGAGAAAATGCCTTCGTGCAATTACCTAAATGGAGACACTTCCTTTGCAGGGAGAGCGACAGGAGCTCTTGGGCACAGCTAGAGTTGAATGTGTGCAGCCATGAAGCATCTTAAGTTATGAGGAGAGAAAAAGGAGGAAGACCTAAGCAAACAATGGGTTCCTCTGACTGCAAAACATTCTTTTGCTCACTGTCTTACCCAGTCCTAAGCACAAACGTGCTTTGAAGTTGGACACAAGGGATGGGAGCTTTTTAAATATTTCATTTTTTCTGTGATTGTCTTTCATCCCTGACATATTTAAAATGTGCTTTAACTTGGAGAAAGACAAAACTGAGACTCTCCAGGAATCCAAGTGATCCCTAAAGCCCAGAGCTCTGCACATTAATAATGTGGTTTCTCGGGGGAGGGGGGAATCCACCCAAACTCAAAACAAAAACCCAAACCATGAACATTTTCATATTTTCAAGTGGAATCAAGAGGACATCATATACTGTATTTATCCATATATATTCTGTACAGAGTATTATAGCTGATTTCTCCAGAAATATTATCTCTGATTATTTGAAAGAGCAAATGTGCAGTCATTGCAGACTATAGGTGGCAGCAGGAACGTCCTTATGCTTTAATTCTGTAAGCTTCAGCACTTTAGTTTATATGCCCTAAGTAATAACAGAGGAACAGTTTTGCCTATGGAATTGTACTACCCATAATATGAAGCAACTCTGTTTCACTGTAAAAAAAGTCTTTCAAATCTTGATTTATTTTCCCTGGCACTTCTTCATACTGTTGCATGTGATGGGGTCTCATATGGGGTGACCCAATAGAAGTATCAGGGAAGATCAGCTAGTTTTTTTACAACATCCTGGTGATGGATTGATATAATCAGCAAAGAAATCATATCAGAGAAAGCCAGTATTATTGATAGATAAAATCCTTAATTTCACAAGAGGTTCTTGAGAAAGGACACTGAGAGGTTAGGGAAGGTATGTTTATCTGTAAGCTAATAACTTTTTTCATGTTTTATTGTTGTCACTTGAAATCTGAGGCTGTCTCTGAGGTTCTTAAGTGCAGCCTGTTCTGAGGGAAACGTCATTGGTCTTTCCTGGCCTGCCTGGAAGCAAGAGGCCAAGCCATGCTTCAGCTATGCCGGACTGTCAAGGGTGGAGAGCACAGGCCACGTGCTGCCCTCACAGATTAAGAGTGCAGACAATAAAGGCAGAGAATGGAAATAACCCCCCAAGTCCCTCCAGCTTTCTGCCACTTTTCAAGGAGCCACATATAAACCATGAGTGCAGAGTCCCAGGGGAGCAATATTAGAATGATGGGTTATTTCCCTTTCTACTCCATTCTGTTCAGCAGTTACATTCCAACATGTTAGTGGAACTTGAACTAGAAAGGAGAATAGGAGATGTCAAGCAGGTTGCATTTTTTGTTTCTATTTTTAAGATTTGGAGTGAGAAAAAAAAGCAGAAGATTCTTGCCTAAGTAATTTTTAGTAATTTATTACTTTGCTCTTACAAAGTAAAATATATTAATAAAGTGCATCAGCTCTTCCCTCAGTGCAGGGGAACTAGCACCAGGAATTTCTGTTTTACCATTGGATTCCTCTAAGCCTCAACAGAAACAAGCTAGGGTTTGTCTGGAAAGCTCGTATTCAGTTACTAAATCAATTTAAAACATATTTAGTAACACCCAGTCAAACCTCTCCTCCCCAGTGGAATTGAAAGAGGATAAAGTGCATCTTAAATCAAGATAGATTAATTTAGCTCTAAGCTAAATTATTTTATGAATAATTTTGGATTTTAATAGTATTGAACATTTTCTAATATTGACAGAGTTTGAAAGTAAAGACTTTAAAAATGGCATCCCTGCCTTTTTGTGTCTCACCTTGGCTCTGCTCTGCAATCCAAAGAACTCCTCCTATGAGTACAGGTGGAGAGAGTTGAAAGGTTGTTCAGCCTGGAGAAGAGAAGGCTCCAGGGAGACCTTACTACAGCCTGCCAGTACTGCAAGGGGGCTTATAAGAAAGATGGGACAGACTTTTTAGCAGGGCCTGTTGCGATAGGACAAGGGGTAATGGTTTTAAATTAAAAGAAGGCAGATTTAGACTAGATATAAGGAAGAAATTTTTCACCATGTGGGTGGTGAAGCACTGACACAGGTTGTCCAGAGAGGTGGTAGATGCCCCATCGCTGGAAACATTCCAGGTCAGGTTGGACGGGGTCTGAGCAACCTGATCAAGTTGCAGATGTCCCTGCTCATTGCAGGGGGGTTGGACTAGATGACCTTTGAAGGTCCCTTCCAACCCAAACTGTTGTATGATTCAAATTGTCCTCCACACCTAGTATTCCTGCCCCAAAATTAGGAATAGTCTTCCAAAACTGGTTTTAGTATGCATTATTATTTGAACAATTATAGAAAGAAAAAGTGATTAATATCTGTTACATCTTTTTTTCTGGAGATTCTCTCCATACCATATAAAGTGCTAGATAGAAAATGTTGCCATATGTACATCCCATTTCTAATATGCAGCGGCCATTAAAAAAGGAGTAAGATTGTGTCTGGAACATGACAGAGAATGATAGAAGAAAATGCAACAACGATGCATCAAGTGAATGGCATAATCTAGAATTTTGTGGATAGCATTGGTTATCCCATCCTAAAATGGATATTACAGAGTTAGAGTAGTTTTAAAGGCAGTTAACATGAATGCTTCTCCAAAAATAGGTTCCACCAAAGCAGACCAAGTAAGAGTCTATGTGCATATTCTTCTCATTGAACATCATCTGAAAGTTGCAAGTGTAAAATTAATCAAAGAAAGTATTCTTTCCAAAAAGTATGGGCTTTGCAACTCACTGATACATGATGTTGCTGAAGCCAAGAATAAAATAAATATGAAAATTAGAAAAAGGGCTAAATAGTTACATGGACAGAAAGAGATTTGAGAGTGAAAACAGCTAAGTGAAAGGTTCTCCACTCTAATCTCTAGAATCAGTGGAGGGATATGGGTGCCTTCACAGGGTGAGGCAGGTTACAATTACACTGGTGGCCTTTGAGCGTTCCTCTTTCTCTCTGCTGGCTAAACGAAGAACCTGAGATTGCCATGTCCCTGATTCAGGATCCCTCACTGAGGCTCAGAAGTTGTGAATCTAGATCTTATTTTCAGGAGAAGGGAATGGAAGCATCTTTTTCTCTTCCTATACAATGTATAGAACAGTCTAAGGTCCACGAAAGGGTCCAGCTCTTGTTCAAACCACAAGAAAGAAAGAGAAGAGAAACAAGAAAGAACGAAAGAAAGATTAAACACTAGAGAAGATAATTGTAACAACATGTTTGACATTCCAAATTCAAGCTCTTCCTCCATTCATACATCACCATATTGTTTGTTATACTCACACAGTGCACGATAATACACAGCCTCATCAACTTTTCTGCAGGAAATAAGGAATAAGGAAAACCTTATTGCTGTGTGCCTTTGTCTTTGCTACAGCACTCATTTGGCTTTAGCAAAGCTCATGCACCTGCATTCTGCTGAAGCCAAGGCAAACTTTTAAAGAGAACAAATGGATAGAGGCTAACTTTCAGCACGGCTGCTACCCTCTTCATGTGAAATTAATAGGAGCTATTTGGCTGACTAACTCTGAAAAAAAAGTCAGGCCCCAGGAAGCAACTCAGAAAATTGTTTCATTTTATTTGCTGATCTTATTTTTTTTTCCATCTTCCACAGTGGCAAATCAGACTCATAAGGTTTTCTGTTTTAAATCCTGTATTATATGACATATTTAGCACCATACTTATTAGAAGTATTCTTACCTGTAATTAAATCATGATGACCTACAGATCTACCACATTTCCCATCCAAAATGTGTTGTGAAGATGTGTGGAGTTGTTGTATAGCTAAGCATTCACTTAGTACATCTTGTTCGATATCAGTACATGAATTTAGCTACAAGAGGAGGATAAAACAAACATTTTATTTCAAAGTAAACCAAATTACTTCTAATTAAATTCATACGTCTCATTGCTTAAAGATTATGTATAGAAGGAAGGAACAAATTATCATTCTTAGGAACTTGATGTAATTAAAGATGTATCTACTACTTGGTATTTTTAAGTAGAGATAATTTTGGTTTTCTTAAGCGCACAAGTTAACTGTGCTAATCTTAAATCAACCACAGTTTGCTTCAGAAAATAAAGTACCCTGTGTTTCTTCAAACCTTCCTGAGTAATTTAACTGCATATTTTCAGGCTTTCTGTAGTTTCTGGGGTTTTGTGGCAAAAGGATTGCATCATCTTGTAGCTGTGACACTTGGAAAGACATTTTATAGGGAAAAGCATTTGTGCTTATCAGATTAGAACTGGTGGAATAATATGCTGTCAGTAATGTGTAAGAGGTATCACTGATATGTCAGCTGTGCTCCATGTACATTAAAGCTCTGGCAAAAGTGTCTGAAGCAAACTCTTGAAAACCACAATGTCGATCATCTTAAAAACAGCAGGAGAGGAGAATTAAGAAAGAAAAGCATTTCTAGTTCTCTTTCAAACATGTTGATGTTGCCAAGCTTTTGTCATAATATAGTGCTCACATTACACAAACAGCCATCATATTCTATAGCCATTAATAAATAGTTATTGTCTTTACATTTACAGTTTTGCATACCGATCTCCCCTGGGTTTGGTTAATCTAAATAAAAGGTCCAGGCAAACCCATTTAGAATTCTGCTATACAGCCATTTGTTGGTTCAAGATAAACATCTAACATTTGGATCACAAAGTGCATCTGCAGCCAATTAAACTTAAACTACTACTAAATTAACAGTTAACTTTCTCCTATTTTGTTCTTGCAAAGCCTTTCAGAACAACCAAATATTACCACTGCAGTCATCTTCTAGGCTACAAACTAAATATTCAGGATTCCTTTGATGCAAGTCTAAGCACAGGCATTTTACTTTATATCAGAGATGGCACATTTTGGTAGCATATCTCAACCAAGACATGTGGGCAGAGCGGCCTGTTAATTTTTCTTTCTTGGCTAAGTCATTTCCACTCAGAACTCCTGGGAAGCTGATACCAACAGACAGCTGCCTTTGCTGAGTTATAACCAAAAATGAGCAAGTGAGTATAAACAGTCTTTTCCCCTTTTTTCCAAAGTAGACTGTCACAGTTTCAATATCATTGAGATTTACTTAGCTGTGAAACGGGCTTTTTTCCTATAACATGTTTAAGGGAAGTATTTGGAGGTTTTATTATTTCTTTATGAGTCAGATTTGCTTTGGTCCCTTTTAAAAGAGCCTGATCAAAATGCACTTTAAACATGCTGCTTTTTCAGATGCCTTTTAAGTTCATGGAAAAAAGACACAGGATCAAGTATTCATAAAGTTATCTTGGATAAATGAAACAGGACATCTGAAGATGATTTCAAACCACTGGAGAAGTGCAGATTTAGATTGGTCTACCAAATAAGGTGTGGGAGGTAAGGAACTAAAATTATTTTAAGATAGACTTGATAAGTCTATGGGACGGTATGTATATGCATGTAGGCAAACTCCTCAAGCTAGGAGATTAAGAGATCTGAAACGCTGGGTATTTCACGTCTTGGTGCATCCGAGCAGCTTGAGTTTGCCATTTGTGTGTACTGCATATGTCCTGTATTGATTCTGTGCTTAAGGCCTTCTGCTGCTTATGCAGGAAATTCTTTGTGCCCCTTAATGCAAAGTTTGGATTTAGGTTTTTTTCCCACCTTCCTCTGTAGAAGTGGAAATAGGCCTCAGCAGGTGACAGTGTATAACAGTGGAGACTGTTCCTTTGCCCAGATGTAAAGGATGTTAACACATTAATGCATTCAGCCCAGTACACAGAGTTGAACAAATGATACCCATGTTTAGTATTAGGAAGTAATTCCTTCCTTCCTTCCCCCAGGAAGCGTGTCAGCAACCACAGGAAGGAAAGATGGGAGGGTTTCTCTTCTTTGGAACAAGGAGCATGGTTGCTTTCCACAGTCAGATGAGAATTTTATGTAACAAAATCTTCTCATCGCACAGATCTTGCTATTGCAAAAGATTTTGGTGCCACAGTCAATCTCTTTCTGTGGCCAATTACTGTTATGGCTTTCTGACTCTTACTCCCATTAAGACCTAAAGCTTGCTCTAGGGAAGCATTGGGAATTTTGCAACCTGTGGTGTGGGAGGCATGTGCACTGCACACCCTTGTGGAACCTTCTAGAGAACTGTAGTGAAACCACATAGCCCAATAATACAAAATTGTGCTTGAAAACTAGGCACTCTTTTCCAGTCCTGCCAGGCTAAATAAGAGTTCTGACTGGACCTGATATATACACAGACAACAACTTGATTCTGTGGATATCCGGATGGGTGCTAGGTATGAATGGTGTTACTTTCAGGCACAAAGCTCCACATGTAATGAGCGTTTCTTGACTGACTTTGAAACAGTGTGCATAACTCTGGACACTGATGTTCTAGCAACTGTTACTCAGATGGCATGCACCTCACCCAGAAAAGGGTTACAGGCAGAACTGGGGGACAGAAAACTGTGCTAAGAAGTTCATAAGTTCAGCTTGGTGAATCTAGCCAAGTGAAAACTGCAGGGGATGTAATTCATGCTGAGAAGTAGCAGGAGGGAAGGAGCGTAAGACAGGAGGCATGGCTGACACAAGTCAGTATGAACTCATCACAGTTGTATTCAAGCAGGAAAATTACACCTTTTTGACATCTATCTCACTCGTCCATGGCTCATCCTAAATTCTGCAGCTAAGATCACCTGGGTTCTGCTATTGTCTCTTCTCTCTACATGTTCCTCTCTTTGCTCTCCAATACTTCTAGTTCTTACCTTTGACATTTTTCCAAACTAGCTGCTCCCTAGCTCTATCTTGCCAGGCTGTCATTTCTCCTCTGTCCTCCATCCTTTAAACATGCCTTGCTGTCTCATCCGTGATGCTCTTGGCAGTAGCGAGGCAGCTGGGGGAAGACGTCATTGCTGCTTATTGAACTAATTGTAATTGCTTGCTAAGGCTTGCATTCCTTTCCACTCCTGGGCCTGAGGTATCCTCATGGTCTGTTCTGTCACAGACCAGCTCTGTGGGGTCCCAATCATCTTTTTAAAAATAGTGTGTACAAATGTGTAAAATAAACAAGTCTCTGATCCTGGGCTGGTGCCTGTAAGCATCCCCATTTAATAATGAGTTCAGGATTTAGCCCACAGAAACCAAAATACTTATTTGAATCTAATAGTAGTGAAAACATAACTAGCAGTCTGGGTTTGGAACGATTTATAAATGCATTTAAAATACAGATGTGGTGGGAAAAGTGCAGGGTTTCTAATCTATTACCAGTCGTCCTTTCCTGACATTTCCATAAGATCCTGGCTTAGCTTTGTTTGTGTTTTACATGATCTGCCAACATGTATTTACTAGCTGATTGCAGAGACTCAATGCATGGATATTTTATGTGAATGACAGCAGAATTTAGGCTTGTGTATGAAAGATGAACAGGAAAGAAATGCTTGGAGAGAAAGTGTGGGGCAAACTGAAATTATAGGGTGGTAGCCTTGAAAGTGTAAGACTATAAAGTGGACTGGTTAACCATAGCGATTAAAAACCAACAGGAAAATTAGCTCAACTTAAGTTTTCTTCTAGCAATATTGCAGGAGAACTCTGATTCAAAAATATATAAACTACAGGTAAATTAAAAATAACTATATTAAGGAGATCGGGAGATGTGTCACTTCTTCCCTAGTGGGTCTTACCTTCTTACGCACCTGTTGTTCTTTGGCTGAATGAGCTTTCACATGTTTGCGCAGAGAGCTGGGGTCAGTGTAGCGTTTGGAGCAGCCAGGAATCTGACAGGCATAGGGTTTCTGTAAATGTGAGAAAAGGGAGAAGATTTCATATTCCTCTGCATCTCTATAATCAGCATAAAGAGCACTGAAGGATGGCTGTTTCTATGAAACACAGCGTTAAGCCTGAGCTGTTTGCTTTGTTTGCTGTTTCAAGGTTTGCTCAGTATCCTCTATGTACACGAGGCAGACATGATGCAAACAAAAGAACCGCATGGATCGCTCCAATTTTACACTGATGCAAGCACTGACAGCACTTGACACATGTACACTCTGTCGTGTTGGATATTGATTACTGGACTGAATTAAATGCTAATGAGATGTAAGTGGATGGGGTTTGAGAGCATTACTTTTTTCCTAGCCTTTTACAGGAGACAAAATTATCATGAGATCACCCAGTATAATTATAGATACAGAAGCTCTGGTTTTGAGTTCTGATTTACAATAACTGTTCCATATGCAGCAGAGGAAAACTTGTGGCATAGCACACATTTTGTTTCCTTGATACCTTGTTCCTGTTTTGAATAACAGCAGCATCTTGCTTTTTATAACTCCTAACCAAACAACCTGCATCAAACATTAACATCTGAGCAAGTCAATACAGAAAGGAAAATTCACTGTTGTTGATTTTGTTGGGAAGACCTTTCCAGCTTATTTTGGCATGTGGCAGAGCTTGCCACTTCTCTGTGGCACAGTATGAGCTCTCTTTCCTGGGAAAACTTTTTTTTCGGGGGTGTGGTTCGCACGGAAGGCTTGTGGGGGGGGGGGGGGGGGGGAAGATGTTTAATTGCTGATTCTGGAGTCCCAATGGCTGAAAACCTCACCAAGTTCTTCTCTTAGTTATGCCTACTCCCAACAAATGAAACACTATCTCTCTGTTACAGTACAACCTCCAAATGAATGTGCAATGACCAAGTTGAACAAAGGGACTCTGGCACTTGTTATTAAGTAACCACTGACTTAAGTCATAGCAAAACAGTGCTGCATGTCCCAAAGCTCACAAAATTTTAAAGTTGAGTGGAATATTCGGCCAGCGAATGCGAGACTTCTGCCAGTCGCTTATAGAATGTCTCATCTGTCTCTTCGTCCTGGTTGGGTGGTCTGTAACAGACTCCCAGCAAGATATCTGCCCCACTGGCCTTCCCCCTCATCCTTACCCATAAGCACTCTACTTGGTCTTCACAATCGTTGATTTCTATGGAATCAAAACGCTCCCTAACATACAGAGCCACCCCACCACCT